CGGCGGAGCCTAGTCGTGTTGGGGCTCATTTTGAAGCTCTCAGCAAACCATATCCGATTTTCGAACTCTGAAAAGTCTCATACCCCGAATTGACGGCTCCACTGTGTGAAAACATTGCAAACTTTAATATTGTCCCTGGCATTCGACGCGGCATCGCGAATCAACGGCATCAGAACCTCCAGCTCATTTGTGAGCTCCAGAATTTTCTCTCGACGACTTTCACGGATAAAACTATCCAAACGAGTCATCAACTCGTCGCCATCCTCGAAATCGTTATCGATTAGCACCGCCTCGCAGTACTTTTCAATTTCCTGGAAGAACTTGTAGTTTGTAGTTGTATTATAGTTTGTAGGCTGAGCAATTTGAAAACCAAAAATTTAATTTGTCAGGTAATACGCTTTTAAATGAGCTCAAACACGACTAGGCTCCGCCCACTTTGAGAGTGAGAGACGCAGTGTGTCTCGCTTCTCTGGTGCTCTAGCCTCAAAAGTGGGCGGAGCCTAGTTGTGTGTGGGCTCGTTTTGAAGCTCGTGGCAAGCTGATTTTGAGAACTGCATTTTCATGCAAATCAAGTGATTTTTCAGAAAGTTACTGTAGTTTTTAAAAAATTATAGAAAAAAAATCGAGGCTCATAGCTCAAAAGCTTATATCTCGGCTCATTTTTTACCGAGAAATTTGGGTTTAAGCTTAAAATGTCAGATTTTAAATGCTCTTTCTTATTACTAACAAATTTTGAACTTACAACAATTCTGGAGCTCAATGGGACGTCAACAGCTCGACACATGGCGTTGAAAAGCTCGGCACTATCCCTTTGGGGGTGTCTTATCACTCGATCATTGAATTGTCTTAATTGAGACGTTATTGCGCCGACAAACGCTCGATACGCATACAATTCAAATGATTTTTGCGGTTTTATCGATTGATTTTGAGATCTGAAGCTTAAAGGGACAAGCTGTTGACTTGAAGGGGGCGTGGCTTGTTGAAGGGGCGGAGCCTGTGGTGGAAGATAGTAGAAAGGGTTTGGGAATGGTTGGGTGTGAACTGACAGTTGACGGATCTGAAAAAATTAATTTTTCCGAAATTTCACTTTTTCTGTAGTTTGTAGTCTTATCACTTTAAAAACAACATTTTCAAAATTTTCAAGTAATCAGCTTCAAAATGAGTTCAAACACGACTAGGCTCCGCCCACTTTCAGTTTAGCGGTGAGAGACGCAGAGTGTGTCGCTTCTCTGGCGCTCTAACCCCGAAAGTGGGCGGAGCCTAGTCGTGTTTGAACTCATTTTGAAGCTGATTACTTGAAAATTTTGAAAATGTTGTTTTTAAAGTGATAAGACTACAAACTACAGAAAAAGTGAAATTTCGGAAAAATTAATTTTTTCAGATCCGTCAACTGTCAGTTCACACCCAACCATTCCCAAACCCTTTCTACTATCTTCCACCACAGGCTCCGCCCCTTCAACAAGCCACGCCC